TAAATATGTGTATGTATAGGTCAAAAAATCTGATTTTTGAAATGTGAAAGTTGTTTTGTTATTTTTGAAATATGGTAAAGATGAAGTAGGATAAATGAATTTTTTCCAAAGTAAAATTACATAAAATCTACCATCTAAAGTTCACAATTCAAAAACCAGGGATGAAATTTAAATTTCAATAATCAGGTGGTAAATATGAATTTTTAAATTAATTAAAAACAAATTTATTATGGTAATCGTTTATTATGGGATCTAATTAGATATGTTTAATTTCATCTTCGTATATATAGTTATCCATTTATCTCTCCCATTAAAACCACGTCTCTCTCTCTCTCTCTTCCATGCACGGAAACCGTGTCTCTCTCTATCATTTATGAGGCTTTTTTTATCTCTACAATACCCATATCACGATTAGAAACCAAACTTACGCTCAGATAACAGCATAATATTCCTTCATACAACTCTCAATCGCCATCATCATCACCGGAGATTCATCATGAAATAACCACATTACATTTTACTTCAACCATAGTAGTATTTAAAATGGTTAGAACTCGTAGTGTTGATGTGAAGATATAGGAGAAGGATAAAGGAAATAGCAAGAACGTTGTCGAAAATTCTTCTTTACCAAAGAGAGTGAAAATGTCAGTATCGACAGAAAATCCATGAAAAAGGCGAATCTGATTTTGTAACTTGATTTGTGAGACTTTTGACTTAGTTTTTACTAATTTGTGATCTGATTTGGGTATTTTGTGATGAAAATTTCGTTGACATGTTTTGCGTATTTTGTAACTTGAATGGTTTGTGACTTATATTGTGTACTTTTTTATCTATTTTTATTTACGTGAATTAAATATGTTTTGTAAAGTGTGTTAGATTGTTCGTGATTAGAATACGTGTCATGATTGTCTACTATTTTGTTTTATGATTTTGGAGAATTTGTGACCAAATATTTATGATCTGAATATGGGTATGTTAATCATAGTGACATGTTTATGCATGTGTTGAATGTCATATTAACATATCCGATATTACAATTTGGGCAGGATGGGAAATATCTAATAAAATCAAGGAATTGGTTCTGTAGGAAGATCACTACAAGTTTAATATAGAGTGTCATCACGCACTTTGTGATGAAATTCACTACTATTCAGAGAAACATTCTGGAAAACACGTATCTCTTACTACATGCATTTGTAAAGAGATAGTTGTGCAGTTACAATTGATTCACTATGTCTTGCTTAGAAGGTGAAGTAGCCTTACAAGCAAGAAATGTGGTTCCACATAAATGGAAGATATATTCGGTTTTCCATTGTTGAATTTTGTTTGGTCACTAGATTGCGGTATACTGGGGTCGATGGTCGACTGATATTTGATGAAAAACTGTCTGCAACGAAGGATATATATTTCAGGGACTTAAAATTTCTCACATGTAAAGATGTGAAAAGAGTCTTTCTTTCACCGGATGATGCACCTAACCATGATGTGTTAAGATTGTGATTATTTATCTTATCACCCGTATCAATTTGCGACATCCTACCCGAAGGTCATGGACCAATCCATATTTGCACTNGACTTATATTGTGTACTTTTTGATCGATTACTATTTACGTGAATTAAATATGTTTTGTAAAGTGTGTTAGATTGTTCGTGATTAGAATACGTGTCATGAATGTCTACTATTTTGTTTTATGATTTTGGAGAATTTGTGACCAAATATTTATGATCTGAATATGGGTATGTTAATCATAGTGACATGTTTATGCATGTGTTGAATGTCATATTAACATATCCGATATTACAATTTGGGCAGGATGGGAAATATCTAATAAAATCAAGGAATTGGTTCTGTAGGAAGATCACTACAAGTTTAATATAGAGTGTCATCACGCACTTTGTGATGAAATTCACTACTACTCAGAGAAACATTCTGGAAAACACGTGTCTCTTACTATATGCATTTGTAAAGAGATAGTTGTGCAGTTACAATTGATTCACTATGTCTTGCTTAGAAGGTGAAGCAGCCTTACAAGCAAGAAATGTGGTTCCACATAAATGGAAGATATATTCGGTTTTCCATTGTTGAATTTTGTTTGGTCGACTGATATTTGATGAAAAACTGTCTGCAACGAAGGATATATATTTCAGGGACTTAAAATTTCTCACAAGTAAAGATGTGATAAGAGTCTTTCTTTCATCGTATGATGCACCTAACCATGATGTGTTAAGATTGTGATTATTTATCTTATCACCCGTATCAATTTGCGACATCCTACCCGAAGGTCATGGACCAATCCATATTTGCACTTGTGGACGATTTTGCCATACTTGAAACATTCCCTTAGGGCAGATATTTGTTTGAAACCACATTATCGGCACTAAGGAAAAGATTAGAAAAACATATAAGCTATTACAGATTAGCTGGTTTTCAAGTGTGGCTATATGAGTACATACATGCATTAGAGGAGAATGTGGCCACAAGAATTTGTAAGAAATATCCACGAATAATGAATTGGACTGGGCACAAACACCCTTCAGTTGCTATGTTAGAGGACAAATTGTTTGGAAATGAAAATGTAAGTTCTTAAATATGTTTTGAATTGTTAACTAATCATTTGGTTGGTTATACATATTTAAGATATAACGTTCAATATTTTTAGTAGAATACAGTTTGTCCAACACTATTTACTCATTGATCCATCTAAACTAGAGTTCATGATGTTCTATATGACAGGTTCAAAACATGAATTTTAGATATATTATGACATGAAATATGATTGTGAATTGAAATAATATAATGTGACTTGAAGTATGAATATCTTGTTCACAAAGTCACATATCTCTTATGACTACGACCTAAAATATGTGACTTGTGAGTTTCCATTAGATATATTGTGACCTGATTTATATCATTGTATGTTGTGCACGATTGACAGATGTGTCGTACTTGAAGCCTAAACAATCACATAACATTATGAGCTCCAAAACTCACGTGAGCACAAATGAGTCTATTCCTCAGCTGTCAAAGGTACATATCAAAGATCTAGATGATGATTTTGTAGATCCATCCCTACAAAAACAGAAGGGAGCTGCTAGTTCTAGCTATCCTACTTAGCCTAGTGCTGTCTATCATCCTGATTGCTCATGTGTTGAAGTAGTAATTTCATTGTTTACAAACTTAAGAAGCCATTTCATAAACAAGCCTACTAACTACAAAATTTATAAAGAATGTGGTCAACTGGAGCGAATGATGAATGAGGAAATAACTAAGCTTTGAGTCGATAACAAAGGGTTGAAAGAGGAGCTTCTGTAGATGAAGTCACAACTTTCTGACATGAATGACACAATGCATCATTCTAACGGTTCTTTGAAGCTCAA